GGGCCGGGGCCGCCGCCGGGAGCGCTGCCGCCCGCGTCGGGCCGCGGCGAGGAGCGGGCAAAGGTTTTTACCTGTGGAAATCTCAACAGCGGTGCGTTCCCCCTCAGCCTCATTAGCTCGGGGAGTCCGGGTGTAGCCGCACAGAAAGGAAAAACCCGAGAGAGCCTGTCGTGTCCCTAAAATATTCTGAATACTGCACATCAGATATCCTTCCCAAAACGCTGCGGCGAAAGGAGATAAAAGCACCCTGCAATGAGAAACTGCCTTCGGAGGCGAAGTGCTAATGCGGACGGATTCATAAGGGATAAACCGGTCGATTTGGAATGTAGATTCCCTGTCGTGTTCTGCGTGAGCTGTTCCCTCCCCTCCCCGAGCCAACCACCCAAACTGTACCCGGGCCCTCGTGCTGCAACGGCAACCTCTCGCTAGCAGCCTGCCTCAGGGCAGCCGAGCTTCCACCCGCAGCGAGGAATGAGATCTCGGGAACACTGAAACAGATTTACCTTGATCTCCTACAGGCCTTTTGGAAACGGAGAAGTCACGTTTGATGCTAGCAACAAACTTTTAGTGTCCCTTTAGGTAAGCAGTGGTCTGCCAACGTTAGGATGTTAGTCAGAAAACGCCTTGGAAAGCCCTGGCCTTCTTTACTGGAGCAGCAGTAGCTACCAGCGTATCCTTAACCGTACCTGATGGAGCAGAAAGAAAGGACCCTCTAATTAATTAAGTGTGCCCAACCGGAGGAGGTTTAGTCATTTCTGAGTTTTGTTATGAGTCTGCCCAATTAGTCCTAACGGCGCCGTCGAGCTAAGGTAGACAGGGACGGGAATTTGGCAATACTTTTGGTGCCTCTGGCTCGGACCGACGCTGTGCCACTGCACCTGCGGGTAGCGTTTCGGTGACCCCAAGGCAGCCGATGTCAGACGAGGCGAGAGAAGGGAGAGGTGCCCGCACCCGGAGGGCCCGGGGCGGGGGCACAGCCCGCTCGGGGGGCGCAGCCTCCCCGCAGCAGCCGCCCGGGAGGGAGCCGGGCCCGGG